TTTATCATCTGAATAACATAGTCAGAACTGTTCACTCTCCTTATCATGATCTAAAGATCAGATCTGTGAGAAATCACTCAATTCGGAGATCATTCAGTCATCTATAAGTATTAAATCAATCAACGATTTTGGTAACAAGTTTGGTACCTCTTTGTCTTTTTCAGATTCTCTGATTGTTTTTGGATGCCTACATATGTAAGCCCTTTTCCCAACAATTGTACAATTTATGGATTTTTGCGGGTCTTTCTACTATTTCAGCTATTTGGAAAGCTCGAAATAAGTTTATTTTTGAGGGTCGCTCAATCTATCTTCTTCGGCTTTGCATGTCTACCAATTCTGGGATCATTCATGGTGGAAAGTTTATTCCTGGCTATTCTCAAGATTTTGACACTCGTATAATTTCTTCTTTTGGAATCCAGCTTGTGATACCCTGAAAATTCAAATATATGAATATGTGAAGAAAATAAAAAATAAATCGATTTATGGTTGTGAAAAGTTGAATTGAGAACTTTTGAAGTTTCGTTTCCGGAGACTATTATAATTTACGTATTTGTATTATTGAGATTTTATATTATTTTTCGAGAATTTATATTAATTTATTTGAATTTAGAATTTTAATTAAACTAGTTACGAAGTTGAAGTTCGGAAAATAATTATTTAAAATCCGTAGACCTTTAGAGGTCATAATTTATATTTTTGAATAGAGCTCGATCTCATGAACGCGTAGGCGTAAACGTTCGTGAAACGGAGTTATAACGAAGAAGTTATTAATGTTTAAAGTTAGGGATATTTTAGTAATTTTACTTCATTTTAGAAGGCTCCAGAAAATTTGGAGCCAATGTGTGTGCCACGTGTGTGGTTGGGATTAAAGAAAAAAAAGATTGACGATTGTGATGGAAAGGAAAGGTTAGAAAGGAGAAAATGAAGGAAGGAGGAGGGGGAGTGACCAATTAGAAAGAAAAGAAAGGAGGGAAAATGACAGAAAGGGGAAACGGGGGATCCCCGACCTGCGACCTGATGACATGACTTGGTCAGTTTCCTTGCCTTTTCCGATGGGTTTTCGCCCATTTCTCTGGTGCATCAATCAAACCACTGTTGGAAATGTGCCCTAAAACCAATCATATGATGATACTTTATGGACATTTCACATGTTAAACTAATCTAGTTTAATATTAAGGGCAAACATTATTGTTTGAGCCGTCTCATATAAATGTTATATGCTTAAACGATAAGTCCAAGGAATATGTGATTGGAAGAATGCGATCTAAAGAAGTTAGATTCATGAGACCATTCTTTCGTTGACACATCCTAAACGTTCCTAATCATAGGATTGTCAATTGGGCATTAACAGTCCGTTAAGATCAGTACGTGCTATGTCTTCTCTCAGGGAGAGTGACTAGTCTCGAGTCATTGGTGTGTGTGACATCAAGACAAGTACGTAGGTGCTCAATAGAGAATGAGTTCACTGAACACGATCAACAAAGAGTTTTCATATTCATGTCACATGAGAACTCATGGTTGGGATAATGCAAATTAGTCTTTTGACCTGAGGCATCACAGTTGTCTTGTGGTTAGGTCCTTAATCTTTGATTATGTCAAAGTCACTCCATCATGAGGGTGTCCATGGCATCGTTGGGGTTAAGCCACTTAGCCATGAAGGCAAGTGAATGCGCAACAAGGGATCTCTAACCTTCAAACTGTTTGAGGGAGAATACTCTATGATATGATTTAGAATCTCTGGCCAGAGTATAAATGAGATGTTGGAATGCGTTCCAGATCACATTCAAGGTAATCATATAAGTACAAGATTCACATTGGATAGTAGACATGAATAAACTATCAAACCAAACAATGTGGTCAAGAGTATTGTATTAGAGAAAGACCGTATTGCATTTGTAATCCTAAACTGAATAGGTTCTCCACCTCTTCTGATTAGCTTGGGTAACCATGACATGCTGCTAGGCGTCAACCATGGTTTGTGGAAGCCCTAAAAGTGTATTATCACTAACGGGAGAATTGAAAGTAAGTTTCAATTCACAATCGATTAGAAAGAGTTTTAATCGCCCACTGCCTCGCTAAAAGGAACCTAATGGATCGTTCACCGAGTAAGGTAGAGTTTGAAGAAACAACGGAGATGAGTAAGAATAATTAAATGGTTTAATTATTTATCTAAGGCTAGGATTAATTAATATGTTAATTAATCAAACGAATAAGTTCGTTAAAGACCTCGGGTTAGTTTTGGGCCGCAAGGCCCAATGGGATTTGAATGTCAAGCCCATTAACTCAAGTTGTATGACAACTTGAATAAAACAAAGGTCTTGAAAGCCCAATAAACCTATAGGCCGGCCATGTGTAAAAGAATAGGGCTTTTGGTCCATTAGGTCACTTATTTGAAGGGGCTATATAAAGGACTTTATAGCCTAAAATTTACTAAAGGTTATTTTTTGGGAAAGGATGAGAACACAAGCTCTCATTTCTCTCTAAAATTTCGGCCAACCTTGGAGGGATCATCTAGCAATCAAACTCCTCCAAGGTCACTCATTTCTTCTTCATTATGCCTTGGTGATGAATAATTAGACGTTCTCAATTTTGGGAACTTGGAGAAACCTTTTCATCCATCCAAATCCATGGATCTAAGATGCAAGGAATGAAGGCCCTCTCTTTGGGTGATTAGCCTTTGCTTATGCAAAGAGGAATCTACAAAGGTATTGATTTCTCAACTCACTTTGTTTTGAGTTGAGTCTTGGTTCACCTATCTACTAGGCTTTGAATTTCATGGGTAAATGTTTTGTTTTTAAGTGCATACAAGCATGATTCCGCCTTTAATTGTTAATTGCATGCTATTGATGTTGCTTAAATGAACATTTTTTTCACAAATCTTCCTTCAACCACCACTTGGAAAACCCTCCATGGCCTTCCATCTTCCTATTACACCCCAAAAATCATGAGATTTGACCTTGTAATTGGGAAAAACGCATCGGTGGGTGAGGCGGTGTTTGCCCGAGATCCACCAAATTTTGAAATGATTTCATCCAATTACAACTACTATTAGACTCCCCTTGAGGCTTGGAACAAAGCCCATGCATTGGTTGGGGCGTCGGAGTTGTTTTGGAGTTGAATTATGAACACCCAAAAACAAGGGTTTCTGGCGGTTTGTGGCCAATTTGAGTGTTTCCCTGCCAAATTGGACTTGTCCGCAGGTATGAAACTTGCTCTACTCGTTGAGATATACAACCCTATAAAATTTGGTAATTTTTGGAAATAGTCGAATTTTCCAACGAGTTAGAGCAGCGGCGCATGGCCAGTGGGCCGACACTGTCGTTTTCACGCTAATTTTGATGTTCTGAGTCCATATTTAATATGCATTTGGTGTGATTCATTTGTTTGAACCTAGTTAATGATTGTTGGTCACTAAATGTCGAACAGAAATGAGTTAGGAAGTAGAATGGTGAACTACGAAAGGCTTGATCCTGCTCAAGGGTACATAGGCAGTCTAACAAGCTTAGATGCAGCCTTAAATAATTTCAGAATAAAATTTTTAGAATGGGAACTGATTTATAATAGAAAATGGTGATAAAGTGAGAATACAATATCACATTTGGTATGAAAATTATAATTATGGATCATGCATGGAAACAAGGTGTTTAATTAAAGAATCACGATAGGTGGTAGTTAAATAATTGAGAAATTGTACTACGAAAAGGGAATTTGGTCAATAACTTGAGTTTTAACCTTATGTTATGAAAATCAAATGTTGGCCATAAATTTTAAAGTGAGGGATTAGGAAATTGAAGCAGTGAATCGAGATTAATGGTAGCTAACTAAACAAGTGTTTAGTTTGGGCCTATCATCGATAATATTCCCCGAATTAGTATTTTGACAGTGGGGTGTTACACAGCCTATCCCTCGCAAGGCGCCAATTATTCTTCCTGTGCTAGTTTCATGGATTGTCATGGTCAATTTCTTGGTGGCTTCTGCCAAGGGATTGGTCATCGCAACTCTTTTTTTTTTTTGCAGAATTATCAACAATTATTATTGGTGTAGAGTTTGCATATCAGTAGGGCTGACATTGTTTTTGGTTGGAAAGTGACTCTTCTAGTGTTCTTTCTACTCTCCAATCGACTGATTTTTATCCTCCTTGGCCTCTTTGTACGCAATAATCTATTTGTTTGGATTGCATTCGAAAGATGACTTTCTACGTCTCTCATATATATCACGAAGGAAATGTTTTGCGAACAATTTTGCTAACATGGGCTTGTCTTCTCCAACTTTAGTATGGCATGATTCCCCTCCATTGACTGCTCGTACTGCTTTGTTTTCAGATTATGTTAACTATCATGGCTACCGCTTCTCAAATTAATCTGCATATCGGCATACATGTTTGACTCACTTTATTGTTCTTTCTTAGCCTTCCTCCTCCAGCTCTCTATATCGTATTTAAAGAGAATCATACACCTATTTTAGCTCAAAAAATAAATAAATAAATAAATAAATAAACAATCCAACCTGTTGATTAGTTAATCAACTAATGATGATGGTTCCTATTATTAAAAGACGTTAAGAGGTGGCTTGCGGATTTATGAGGAAAGGACGTGCTGGAGGCTTCGCTTGGTCTTGCAAGAGGTATGATTGATCTATCGATCGATCTTAATCGAGTACTTGAGACAATTTCCAATTACTTTAGTCTAAAGAAGCTGGCAAAATTGCACTGTAGAAATGAACAGTGTTTTGGGCCGAATTTCGCTTTATTTACGAGGTTGCCACTGACTCTGTCTGTCGTTGATCATGATACCGCGTGTTGATAATCGTGGTTAGGCAGGGGTGCGATGGTCGTTTTGAGTCTAGGGTTTCGAACGGATTGGGTGGGTTAGGGAGACTTTCATTTCCTTTCTTTCTGTGAGCTTCAGAGGGACTCGGTGAAACCATGCCGACAGGAGAAAGAGCGGGAGGGAGAGAGATAGGGATTTGGTGAGGGGAAGGCATACGGCTTGCAGGTAGACAGTTATAGGGGTGTACGATTCAAGGGGAGAGAGGAGATTGAGTGGTTGCATCACTCTCACTACCTGCACTCCTGAGGCCAGCTACCAGAGAGAAGGACACATGAGAAGAGAGAAAGAGAGAAAGAAAGGGAGAGCGCACAGAGACAGGAAGGTCTGAGATTGAGGACAAAGGCCATGGTTGCACAGAATGACTGAGATTTGAAGCCCATGACAGCCTTAGCTGATTGAAAAGGTGAGGAGTCGTTTTCAAATCTTTTGTACTTTAGGATTAGGTTTACAAACTCTATTCATATCATGCAGCTTTAGATTCGAAATTGTGATTTTGTTCAGCAAGAATTCTAGGGTTTGTGACGTTTGTGAGGTTTATACATTTTAAATCTCCTTTTGTCTTCAAATTCTCTCTAATTTATTGCTATGTGATGTAACTCTTATTCTGTATATTTTACTGATCAATTGAACATGCAAAGGTAGTGATTGAAGCCTTTTGTTGCTGAGAATCTATTAGATCGTTTAGAGGTAAAAACCCAGCTTTTTTTTTAAATTTAATTTTTCTTCTTCGTTTAAATCTATTAGTTCTACTTAAGGAATGAATTATGATTAGAATTTGTTTCAGGGAATGGGAGAGCGAAATTCGAGAGAGAATGTCGAAATCGGCTAAGATCGAAGATAAAGACGGAGATTTTGACGGGTCTACTCGGCTGCTGATACTGACAACATGTAAATCAGAGCTGGTGAGAATGGCAACAGAGAAGCTCAGCTCGACCCAGAGTTAGGTTTCTGAGAAATGAGAAAGGTTTCTGTAACATGCTCTTCTTCTTCCTCTTCATCTTCTGGTATGCATCTTTCCCTCCAACTTTGCAAATATTTTTGTTTAAATGCTAATTGTTTGCTTGGTTTGTTGGGATCTTTTTATATTATTTTGATATGGGTTGTTGATTTTTCTTTTCTTGCATTTTAGTTTGATTATATTGTGAATCAATGAGTATTTTCCATTGGGACTGTAAGAAAAAAGAGTAATTTAATTCTCAGTACCCAGATTCTGATTAGTTGCTTCTAAATTGTCATAAAATTTTTAGGTGTTTTGTGTTCGACATATAAAGTAATAAATGTCTGTTGATACCTAAAAAGAAGATGAATGTAAAAGAATAGAATCTCTAGAGGGTTGCTTTAGGACCAACTGATGAAAAGGACCAGAGAAAAGGTTGTCAGATACACTCTTGGTCATGCATCTGTGATGTTGTAAGAGCTCTAAGACTATCGCTGTAACATGGAGAAAGGGATGTATGGGTATGGGTAGGGGATGAAAAACCTTTTCATTTTCCATTTGCTTCCTGAAAACCGAGGGATTTCTGCGACTGCAGAGAGAGATGGGGGTGTCCTTTAGGTGCCTTTAATTGTCACTTTTGTGATTTGTCCACCCTTGATTGTTGTGTGATTCATTCTCACGAGCGTTCTATGCACAAGGTTTCATGTTATTCCTTCCTTTTAATTTTGATATTATTGTGCTTAATTTCTGTTTTATATTATTGGGTGATTAGATTACAATTTACAATCCCCAATTTTTTATTTTTACTTTTTATGCCTCACTGCTATTGCTTTTATTGTGTCGTATAGAATAAAGACTTTTTTGAATGTTATTACCACTGTGGTTTCTATGTGTTCGATACTGATATTGGTCTTTCCCACATGTGCTCTTTTCACAAGGTTTCATATTTTTCACAGGACCCGCTCACCCTATGGGCACCCGCGCCGGTGGGCTTGGCCCTTCCATCTCCTCCAACCGCAGGTGCATATATGTATATATTTCTGTCAAATCTACTTATTTGCATGTGCCTTTGTAAGGTTTGTTCCTGATCAGTTTTCCATCATTTTTAACCATCTATGCACTTATATTGCTTTGGATTAGGATTTCAAATTGAGGTTTTTAATACGTTTGTTTTGGAATTTTTGAGATTGTTGGAAATTTTAGGGTTTGATGATTTTTATTTCAAATATTCAGTTTTAAGAAGCATATTAACAATGCACAAGGAGGAGCCAAGGCAAGTGTAGCCACTGTAAACACGAAGGATTCCAGTATTGCTTCTGCGCAACACGACGTTGTACAAAATGGAACCCGTGTACATCCCCAATTACATGGTACAGATTTCTAAGTATCAGTTCTCTTTTAGTCTAGAAAATGTATTTGTTTGAAGGAGTTCGGGAGTATTAGATAATTGTGTTCTTTTTTAACATCTGAGTTGCCCATTTTGTTTGATTTTCATTTCTTGGCAATGTTTTTCCTTCTACTGATTTAATGTAGGAGGTTCTGATACGCCCATTGCAAGCACGCTTCCCGGACAGCTGAAGCTTCAGCCTTTCAGAAAAGCTCCCGAACTTTTCCAAAGGCTCCGACTTCTCAGAGAAGCTCCGGAACTGTTCCAAAGGTTCCAAAGGCTCCGACTTCTCAAGAACACCACCTCTCTTTCATCAACAAAGCTTGATAATTTGTTTTATTTATTTTTTTGGAAAAATTCCCGATTTTGATTTTTTTCAATTTTTTTTTTTTTGTTTTGTTTTTGTTAATTGCAGCTGCCAGTAGCAATTTTCCCAGTACACATGCCCTTGATACAGCTCACGCTACTGTTCCCTGTACCGCTACAAGGTATGCATGCTGATTTGTCCATATTCTTATTTATTTTATTTTGTAATATTTAGCAAAATCAAACATTTGATCACCTTCTTTTGATTTTGGGTTTGGTGGGTTTGATGCATACTGATAAATTTATTTGGTTTTGGTTGATCTGAAATTGGTGATTGCATAACACGTTGGAATGTGAATTTTCATGCGTTTTGTAATTCTGAGTCTGTGTTTGGATGCTGTAATATGTTGGATTACCTAGATACTGCCCTTCCATGACTCCCTTGATTTATGCATGATGGAACTAAGTTACTTTAGAATAGATAATTTTTCTGGTCTTCTTACTTATGTTGGAATGTTGTTAATGTAATTTGTTAATTTTGGATATTTGTTTGTCATGGGTTCTGTAGAATTAGACTCCAATTGTGTCCTCTGGTTTTCTGATTTTTTTTCTCAATTAGGATTAGTTCTTACCAATTTCCTATGACATTTGTGCATGTTTGTTTGTTAATGCTCATTGCTCGGTGAGGGTTTCAGGGATGGGAGGTCATAGAGATAGAGATAGAGATAGAGATAGATAGAGGGAGACAGAAAGGGAGAAGGAGAGGGAGATGGATAGAGAGGGAGAGGGAGAGAGGGAGACAGACAGAGAAAGAGTGATAGAGAGAGAAGGAGAGGGAGGAGTGGGGATCTTATCACCATTGCTGCAGATCCTCGATTTCATGAGTGGGAGAGGGGGGACAGTCAGAGAAAAGCACGGGGGCCATCGGGATTTGAGGGAGAGGGGGAGGGATCGTGGCTAGGGGTTTGGGTTTATCCTATCTCTCTCATCGCTTTCAGAATTCTATATATATATATATATGCCAATGGAAGTTAATAATTTTATTGTTCTCTGGGGTTGGTTTTGTTCATGAATAAAGTACTGTGTTTTTGCTGTATTTTGGTTTCAAGAAGTTGATGGTTTTGGGTTATGTTCTTTTTTCCCTTTTTTCTCAATTCTCAGTGAGTGGCACTTTTTCTCAATGGAAGATGATAGTTCAAATGTGTCAATGGTTCTGGAAATACGATTACAAGTTTACGTACATTCAGTCTACCAACAACATTTCTATGCACACAACTCAAGACACATGTGTTGATAAAACCCGCACACTGGACCTTGTTCTTTGATGTAACCAACGGCAATAGACTAAACTAGCAAATATAGAAAACTTAAAAAACACACAAGAATTATACTGGTTCGGCAGAACTTATGCCTACATCCAGTTGTGATTTCCCTAGGTAGAGAAATCACCGCTTCTTTGATTAATAATAGAGATTACAGAACTTATGCAAACCCTAGAACTAATCTCAAAACTCTCTGTTGTTTGGCTGGTTTTCTCTCTCTGCTGAAAATCAGCCTTGCCGCACCCTATTTATAGATATAGGGTTGGCTTACATGTCCTTTACAGATTATAATTCCTATTCTAAGTGGAATAGGAAATTAGACTTCCTTTCCAATTCCAAATAGACTTCTAGGATTTCTAATCTAAATTGAATAAGGAAACTAAGATTCTTTCCAAGCCCTTTTAGGAGAAGAATTGGTGCACCCTTTCCCTAAAACAATCCTAAACAGAAAAGGAGACAAATTGACGAGCCAAAACTAACAATCTCCACCTTGGTGAGTCAAACCAAGTCTTGATCGTTTGCACCCCAGAGTATCTTTGAACCTTCTTGAAGTAGCTCTGGAAAACTTCAAGAGTCTTCACCTTGGCAACCTCCTTCTTGCCTCATTGCACCTCAGGTGAGGAGGTGCTCCACTTTAATCAATCAACGAGATTGATCAAGTTCAAACAATGCTTGAACTTCTTGGCCGGCACTATCTTTGTAAGAAAATCTGCGGCATTGTCATCCGTATGAACCTTTTCAATCCAAATTTCCTTAGACTCCACCCAATCTCTGATTCTGTGATACCTTGCTTCAATGTGCTTTGATCTTCCAGAAAAAACCTGATTCTTTGCCAAGTGAATGGCACTTTGACTATCACACTTAAGTTTCACACAATCTTGAGTGATTCCCATTTGACTTACCAAGCCACTAAGCCAAATTGCTTCCTTTCCAGCTTCGGCCAATGCAATATATTCTGCCTCTGTGGTCGATAAAGCTGTAATTGGTTGCAGTAGTGCCCTCCAACTGATTGGTCCTCCTACGCATGTAAACACATAACCAGAAGTTGACCTTCTCTTGTCCAAGTCCCCTGCATAATCGGCATCCACATATCCTAACACCCCTGCATTTTCCTTTTGCTTCTCAAACATAATCCTTTGTCGCCAAGAACCCTTCAAATAACGCAAAATCCACTTGACTACATCCCAATGTTGCTTTCCTGGATTTGCCATGTATCTGGAAACGAAACTGATTACTTGAGCTATGTCAGGACGTGTGCATACCATTGCATACATGAGGCAGCCCACGGCATTAGCATAAGGCACCTTCTTCATTTCTTGTTGCTCTTCCTCGGACGTAGGACACTGTTGTCCACTTAACCTGAAGTGAGCTGCCAAAGGAGTCGAAACTACCTTTGCTTCTTGCATGTTGAACTTCTCAAGAACCTTCTGAATATACTTGGCTTGTGATATCCAAATCCTTCCGGCGGTCCTATCTCTCTGAATTTCCATGCCAAGGATCTTCTGTGCGGCACCTAGATCCTTCATGTCGAACTCCTCGCTCAACATCCTTTTCAAGTCTTGAATTCTAGACTTGTCTTGACAAGCAATTAACATGTCATCCACATATAGCAATAGCAATATGATCATCCCATCTTGGAACACATGATAGTACACACAACAGTCATACAAACACATTCTAAAATTAATTTTCAGCATGAATGAATCAAACCTCTTGTACCACTGTCTTGGAGACTGTTTCAGGCCATACAGGGACTTCCTTAGCTGACATACTAGGTTTTCTTTCCCATATTCAACAAACCCTTCTGGTTGAGCCATGAATATCGTCTCCTCTAAATCCCCATGAAGAAACGCTGTCTTCACATCCATCTGCTCAATCTCCATGTCATGCTGAGCTGTCATTGCTAAAAGCAATCGGATAGAAGTATGCTTGACTACAGGTGAAAAGATCTCATCATAATCCACCCCTTCCTTTTGCGAGTACCCCTTAGCCACGAGCCTTGCCTTGAATCTCACGGCATCTTGTTCATGTAGTCCTTCCTTTTTCCTAAATACCCACTTGCATCCAACTAGCTTTCTGTCTTTGGGTTTAGGAACCAACTCCCAAACAGAGTTCTTGTAAAGAGACTCCATTTCCTCTGTCATAGCATTTATCCAACTATCTCGCTCATCACTTGTTATAGCTTCTCGATAAGTAGTCGGATCTCCTTGACTAATGTTAAGAGCATAATTAACTTCGTTTTGGTCAAACCCAAACCTGTCAAGTTTCTTCTTGTTTCGCTTAGGTTTGTCCAGTGCTATGTATCTTTGGAATGCAGGTGGATTGTTGGGTGGAGTTTGACTCCTTTGGGATATCTGGCGGATTGGAGTACCTTCAATCTGTCCTGTTTCTTGCTCCACCTGATTCCTAATTGGTGAATGATGCTGATGCTCTTCTTCTTCCTCAAAACCATCAGATTCGGCCTCTTGCTCAATTTGCTCTACCTGAGCTTCTTCTTCATCTGACCTGATTAACGGAATCTTTGTTGCTTCAATTTCAGCATCATCCTTCTTCTCCCTACTGCTCTCGACTTTATTCAGAGGCATGGTTGTCTCATCAAAGACAACATCTCGACTGACAACCTTTTTCCTATTGTTGAAATCCCAAAGCTTGAAACCCTTCACTCTTTTCTCAAAACCGAGGAATATGCAAAGTATAGACTTCGGTTTTAGCTTGGACCTTTCATCACTTGGAATATGTGCATAAGCACTACAGCCGAACACCCTGAGCTTGGAATAATCCACCGGCTTCTCAGACCATACCTCTTCTGCACTCTTAAAACCGAGAACTGTAGATGGTGATCTGTTAATCAAATAACTTGCATGATTAACAGCCTCTGCCCAAAAACTATCAGGCAATCCTGCATGAAATCGCATGCTCCTTTCTCTCTCCATGAGAGTTCGGTTCATCCTCTCAGTAGCTCCATTTTGTTGGGGATTCTTCTTTACTGTGAAGTGCCTTATGATGCCTTCCTGCTTGCAGTAATCGATGAACTCCTTACTTGTATATTCACCTCCATTGTCACTTCTCAGATACTTGATCTTTCTTCCAGTTTGATTCTCGGTTTCTGTTTTCCATTCCTTGAACTTTGCAAAAACCTCGGATTTCTACTTCATGAAATAAATCCATAGTTAGAGCAGGACCCCAAACATCTGAGTGAATATAGCTGAGTCGCTCCTTACTTCGGCTATCTGCACTGCTACTTGCGAATGATACCTTTCTTTGCTTCCCAAGAACACAGTATTCACAAAAGTCCAGTTTGCAAGCTGATACACCTTCCAACAGGCCTTGCTTGTGTAATTCTTGCAATCCCTTTTGGCTTATGTGCCCGAGCCTATGATGCCATAGTTCAGTCTTGTCTTCTATACTTTGATTTATAGAAACAGCTGCTCCCCCGACTATAGTGGTCCCAATTAACTTATACAACTTATTGGGTTGTAGGTCACCCCGCATTACCTAGCGATCCTTTGGTTACCCTGAGTCTTCCTTTTTTAGACTTGTACCCATAACCGGCCTCATCTAAAGTACCCAAGGAAATCAAATTCTTTCTTAGTCTAGGGACATACCTGACGTTCCCCATGTTGGAAGTATGCCCACAAAGCCACTCATTTGATGTAATAGCTTTTTGGAATACTTATTGTGTTAAACTTTTATATGTTTAATAGAGGGCAAAGCTTATTGTTAATCACTATTTATAGTATCTTGTGTTTAAGCAATAAGGGAATCCAAGGAATGTATTTGATCTAAGAGACAAGTGATTTAAGTTAGTTAAATTAACGAGACATTTCTCTTATGTTCATTCCTAAAACGTTCCTAGCCATAGGATTGCCAATTGGGCATTGACAATCCGCTAAGGTTAGTATGTGTTATGTCGACTCAAGCGTGAGTATGAACTAGTCTCAAGTCATTTGGTGTTGGACACTAAGGCAAACACATAGGTGCTCGAAAGAGTAATCGAGTACACTGAACAACGATCAAACGAGAGTTCGAACATACATGTCATGTGAGAACTCAATAGTTGCAATATGCAAAGTAGTCCTTTGACCTGAGGCATCATTGATGTCTAATGGTTAGGTCCTTGATCTTTGATTATGTCAACGGCATTCCATTGGAGTGTCCACGGCATTGTTGGGGTCAAGCTATCTAGTCATGTAGGCATATGAATGCACAACAAGGGATCTCTAACCTTCCATGATGGAAGGAGAATACTCTAAGATATGATTCGAGAGTCTTTGGCCAAAGCATATGAATATGACTAAGGAAGATGTTCCAAATCTTATTCAATTGAATCATATATAGAAGTATCACATTGGATAGTAGACATGAAACAAACTATCACTTAAACAATGTGATTAAGAGTATTGTATTAGAGAAGGACCGTATTGCATTGTAGTTGTAACTGGATAGGTTCTCCAACCACTTCTACTTAGCTTGGGTAACCATGATATGCTGCTAGGCGTCACCCATGGTTTGTGGAAGCCCTAAAGATTAGCAAACACTAATTTAAGGGAGAATTGAAATGTGGTTTCAATTCACAATCGATAGTTAAGAGTAACATCGCCCACTACCTCGCTAAATGGAACCTAATGGATCGTACACCGAGTAAAGATATAAGTGAAGAAATTATATGAAATGGATAAGCAATTAAATGGTTTAATTGAAGAATGGTCAAGATTAATTAAATAGTTAATTAATTATACGAAACGTTCGTATTGGGCGTTTAAGTTAGTTTTGGGCTTCGGGGCACAAAAACGTTTTGGTCCACAAGGCCCATTATGTTTAAGTTGTATGACAACTAAAAAACAAAATGGGCAATTAAGCCCAATAACAACATATGGCAGGCCATAAGGGTGGAGGGTAGTGAACTTGGCTTAATTGCAAGTTTGCCACTCCATTGTGAGGTGGTATAAAGACATCTTTATAGCCATTTCATCCTTAGGGTTTTCTAATTGAATTTGGGTGAAACCTATTCTCTCATTTTCTACATAGAGGCCGGCCACCTTAGGTGAGGAACATCTAGCAATCTTTCTTCCCTAAGTCATCCATTTCATCTTCACACAACATCTTTGGTGTGGAGACTTAGAGACACCAAACTTTTGGTGTTTTGGAGAACAAATCCTCAAATCCTCAAAGAAGAAAAGGAGCACTAAAAGGGAGAAAATCACAAGGAAGATCCAAGGAGCAAGGAGGTGACTTGAAGGCCCTCCACTTGGGTGAATCCCTTGTGCAATCAAGGATGAGCTTCAAGGATAAAGAATCTCTAAAATTCTTATTCTCTTTAATATTGTTAAAGAGTCTTATGGTTCACCATATACTAGGCTTTGAAAGTTATGGGTTTTATGAATTGTTTTTGAATGCATGCCTACTTTAAAGTGTTATTAGTTTGCATATGTATTCAAATGTTCTTACATGTTCTTAGCTAGGACAAAATTTTTCCTTCACCCCAAAGCTCGTATCATCCCATCGAACATTCTGATTCGAACAGTGCCGATTCCTCTTACAGGACATGAAGAATCATCCCCCATTAAGACTTCCCCGCTGCTGACTTCTTTGTAAGTATCGAACCATTCTTTTACTGCACACATATGAAACGTGCATCCAGTATCCAAAATCCAATTGAAAGCCTTGGAGCCCGATGTTACCGAAAGAAGTTCCCTGTCACTCTCATGTTCGGTGACTGCACCAGCGGAACCTGAGCTTCCTTCCATCTTGGCTTTCTTTTCTTTCCAAATCTTGCAGTTCCTCTTCCAATGATCGGCTGAACCACATTCGAAGCAACCTTCCTTCTTTTCCTTTTTCTTCTTGGATTTTGACCTACCTCTGTTGCCAGTTTTCTCTTCCCTTGTCTTTTCCCGCCCCCTCTCCTTGCCTTTGGCATAAAGGCCTTGAGAGCTTTCAGTTATATCATCTAGTTTAGCATATGACTGAAGAGCTTGAATTACATCTTCAAGCTTCAAGGACTCTTTTCCAAACATTAGAGTTGTTCGAAAGTGCTTGAAAGACGAAGGTAGAGACCTTAGCAGGATGATAGCCATATCATCATCTTTGTAAGTTTCTTCGACTTTCTGAAGATTAGCTATGCAATTCTGGAACTTGCATACGTGATCTTCAATATCACCTCCTTCTTCTAGTCGAAGCCCGAATAGTTCATCCTTTAGAAAAAGTTTATTGGACACGGTTTTGCCTATATAAACATTCTCCAATTTTTCCCATGCTTCCTGGGCAGACATCTTTTCGGTGATGTGTGACCGAACTGATCTTGTGAGATGGATCTTGATGGAACTCTTGGCCTTCTTGAGAACCTTATTCCATGCTACTTCTGTCATGCTTTCCGGCTTCTTACCATCAATTGCATCATCCAAATCCTGCTGTATTAGTACGTTCTTCATCATCATTTGCCAGTCCGTGAAGTCATCCTTGCCGTCAAAGGGTTTTAACGCAGGTCCTTGATCCGCATTCATCTTCCCTTTTAACATCGTAGAACACCTTGATCCTAGCTCTTGATACCAATGTCACATCCGGACCCGGGTGGCACCACTTCCCGGGCCCGCTCCACCACCGTAGCACGATATTGTCCACTTTGGGCCCCGACCACACCCTCACGGTTTTGTTTCTGGGAACTCACACGAGAACTTCCTGATGTGTCACCCATCCTGGGAGTGCTCTCGCGCGCTACTCGCTTAACTTCGGAGTTCCTATGGAACCCGAAGCCAGTGAGCTCCCAAAAGGCCTCGTGCTAGGTAGGATGGGAATATACATTTAAGGATCACTTCCCTGGGTGATGTGGAATGTCACAATCCACCCCCCTTAGGGGCCCGACGTCCTCGTCGGCACATTTCCGGCCAATCCCTGGCTCTGATACCAATTGTTGAAAAAACCCGCACACTGGACCTTGTTCTTTGATGTAACCAACGGCAATAGACTAAACTAGCAAATATAGAAAACTTAAAAAAACACACAAGAATTATACTGGTTCGGCAGAACTTATGCCTACATCTAGTTGTGATTTCCCTAGGTAGAGAAATCACCGCTTCTTTGATTAATAATAGAGATTACAGAACTTATGCAAACCCTAGAACTAATCTCAAAACTCTCTGTTGTTTGGCTGGTTTTCTCTCTCTGCTGAAAATCAGCCTTGCCGTACCCTATTTATAGATATAGGGTTGGCTTACATGTCCTTTACAGATTATAATTCCTATTCTAAGCGGAATAGGAAATTAGACTTCCTTTCCAATTCCAAATAGACTTCTAGGATTTCTAATCTAAATTGAATAAGGAAACTAAGATTCTTTCCTAGCCCTTTTAGGAGAAGAATTGGTGCACCCTTTCCCTAAAACAATCCTAAACAGAAAAGGACACAAATTGACGAGCCAAAACTAACAACATGGATATGTTCCAATCTCAGCGACAAGCACTACTATGAGGCCACTACCATATGCGAATATCTTCATACATGTCGATTCCCTTTCTCACCCTCTTCATGTTTTATCCAATATTATGTTTTTTATCTGATTTCATGTGTTTTCTTGACGCTTTTCCATTCTTTGATATGGGTAATTTGTTGTTATGTTTTCATGATATGGGTCTTTTTTCAATTTGCATTTTGGTTGTCCAAGATTTCTAAGTTTTTTTATTTATAAAATATAAGAACAAATTAAACTGAACATCAAGGAGTTTATTATGATCAACTTTTTGAAGTGTCGGTAACACTTCGCTTTAGGAATATGTAAAACTACCAATCATTGTTTGATAATTCCTCATGTAATGAACGACTTGGACTTTACCATAAATTAATTTAATTTCTATTACAGCAAATCTGGTCATTTTCTATGTAAGTTTCCCTTCATGGTTCAGTTCTGGCATTCCCCTCAAAACATCATTTGTGTCATTTCCTCTTTTTCTGTGTTCAGCTTACATACCTTACATATATATTGGAGACTACAACGACAAAAGATGTCAGTTGAATGTATATAAAAGCCAAGCTGCTTATCTTATCGACCTCATTCACTCATGTGTCCCTCTGTTCATTCATGATTGTTTTAAATATATTCAGGTTAAATGTGTTTTATTCATGCAGTTATGTCTAAAATAGTTGATTCCCGCCGCAACACACGGGCATATTTTCTATATAGACTAAGATTTGGTAATATATGGAGGTGAGATGAGCTATTTCATTCCGAACTAAGACCTAAGAATCTTCGCAATTCTTATCCTTTAAATTTTGCATTTTTTTTAAATATTTATTAATTTTTTGGTGATGCAGGTAGATGAACATGTTCGAAGGGAAATCATGAGCCATAGATCACTAAAGCATCAGAATATCATTCGATCCAAAGAGGTTAGTGATCATAAACTATTTTCATTTTGTATTTTTTTAAAATATTTATTTATTTTTGGTGATGCAGATGCAGATGGATGAACATGTTCAAAGGGAAATCACAAACCATAAATCACTGAAGAATCCGAATATCATTCGATTCAAAAAGGTCAGTGATCACTATTCAATCCTTTTTTAGGTTTCAAACGATACTATTAAATGGTTTTCAACATTGGATTTAATAAACCTCTAATACAGGTTTAGAGTTTTGGTTTGGCTTTGATGTTTTCCACCATCACAGATTTTCCCTGATTCTTTCTATTTTTATTATACTTATAAATGAAATTGTTCCCTGGATTGCAGTTACTTTTCAGCATCCGACAACACTGATATAGCATTTGATGTACACTTCACTTTTGAAACCCAATCGGAATTATGTTCCGGTCAATATTGAGGATCCAGGTAGTTCTAGGTCTCTCTTTTCTCTCTTTCCCCCTCCCAATATGTAGTTTAATCTAATTGAACAGCTCTATTTATTTAAGATTTAGTTGCGTTCGTCATTACTAAAATTTGTTGCAAGAAATTGGGGGATGAATTTGGTTTCAGGGGAATGTTATCCTTTTTTATTCTTATACTGCACAGAAAAAAAAAAAAAAAAAAAAAAAAGCAATGCATTGGGTGCAAGTATGTGTTTTTTATCATTTATTTCTGTAGTTTGAAAGTCAATTGTGTTTTTGTTGCCGCATCATATAATTATTCAATATGCCCTTTTTAGCATTTCAATACCATTTGCACGTCATTGTTAGCACTTCGAATACCTTATCCGCAATTTCAAGATCATGCAAAACAATGTGACATTGCCTCTCTGTTTTTGGTATCTTTGTTTATCTCTCTGACAGACGAGTGCATGGTTTTCACATAATCACATTACGTGTTTCTTTATCAAACTGTATACGATTTCTGATTCTTTCACGTATCAGACAATATAACGAACTTGAACCCAAAGAAGACAATAAATGTCAGGCTGCTATGTACAGGTGACATACAAGCATCTGTATTTCATTCGAAAATCAGGTGAAATACAGGTGTTTTTATCTGCGAAAAAATTCGGATATGGTGTCCTAATAACTTTCTCATGCTATTCTATTTGATTCTTTAATAAAAGTTTTGTAGTTTTTAGATTTGGTGGATCTTAGTAAATTAGGTAGTAAAAAGTACTCTTTTGCTTATTCTCAATGTAGTCAAATTTTCTCAAGACAATTTGAGCGGGGAAAAACAATGTCAAACATATGTCGTATATATAAACGTTTCTTTTGGTTGTGAAGATACACTATGGAGTGTGCATATTTGAATTGTCAGTTTCCTCAAGTGTATTCAATCTCCCATTTCATTATATAGACCTCACATGGTACTTAATTGTTCTCCACTAAGATGCATGCTTCAGTACAATCGAATGAAAAAAAAAAGACCATTGCAATGTTGGTATTTCGTATATCTTATTTATAACTATGTTTTCTATTGCAAATTATTGCCACAACAATTTATATACGTGAGGTCCATGTGGCTATTATGCGTGCATTATTTTCTTCTAAGTGAGGATACGGGAAGTTTTCCTCATTATGCTCCTATGCCCAGTTGGTCGGGTGTATATGACTTGCAGTGAGCTCAGGGACACAGATTGGTTAGTTCATCCATGATGCTGAGTCCTATCTTGAATGGTATCTTGGCCGCCGCGTTTTAGATGCTTAGGTCCGTGATTGAAGTGTTATTTGTAGTTTTTTCTTCTTTTCAGAATTCATAATGTTTGCAACTATAAAAAACAATATACTTTTATACCTCTGTTTCTCTTTTCTTTGTTTTCATGAGAAAGTAATTGTCATTGGCAGCACTATAAAAAACAATCTCTCTGCATTATTCTCTGCTTCATACATAATTACATGATTTTAGGTTTAATATCTAGCTTTTTAGTTGTAGATTACTTATATGGGTCTTTAACTGCAATATCAAATTTCTTACTTTTTTCATGTTTTTACTTTTGACTTGCTGATATCTATTTTAGAATGTGGAATTATATCTAATATTTGTTTATTTTCTGACTATCTTAATGCCTCACTGTCTGTAGATTTTAAATTTTGGTAAGAACCATGAAAATGATTGAAAAGCATGATGTTGTTTTCGAAATATATATTAGCATCCCCTTCTCACCCAACTGCCAAAATTAGGTGGCTTGACTTGAGGTGTTTTCAGATATTGTAATTGAATGAACAATTAGGTTACACTTTAACAAAAATGTGTAAAAAGGGTTGATAACCGCATTTTTAAGAGAGAAGTACTATTTTGTCTAACCCTTTTGAGTTCCCATATATCTTCATTGTTTCATTTATACATCTGTTGGAGGATTGGAGGGGATTGGGAGGCAGATGAGCGAGACTTCTGATGGTTACACAGAAATAAATGGTCTCTCACATCTTGAACCAGATTATTATTGGTTTGGCAGGTATGAATGATTCTAGCCTTTTTTTTAGAGGAACTATGCTTTCCATTTCAAACAGAATATTCTGTTATTAGAAGCAATTACATAGAGTTTGGCCAACTAAAATGGCTGTACAGAAAAAATGGTCCTAATTGTTCACTCTCTAATGATGTTGGCAAGTAACGTTGATTGTTCTAAACGCTGGCAGTGCTTCTGTTTTCCACAATGTAAGCCCAAGATTATGCGATGGTGCTCAATTTGGATTTGTTGCATAGCTAGAAGGATTATCTTGCAGTAATTGTTGAAGACCGTTATATGCCAAGGTATTGATTCTTTCGAATCCCAGTTAAAAAAAAAAAAGAGTCAGATTTACATATATTTTGCATCATTATAATTAGTCTACTTGGGTTAGCTTAAGATTACAGAGAACAGCCTACTACATGGGGGAATAAATCTTTCTTATAGCATGCATATCCATATATAGCAAGCAAAGTTTCACTTGGTTCTTAGGCACTAGACCGTCTTTCCTTTAGCTTATAATTAGCTGCTCATGAATTCTTGGCATCTTATTTTATTCTTCTTATTGGGGTGTTTTACAGCACCGTATATTTTTTCAAGGAGCTTCCTCAGTTTGTTGTCAAGGCTGGTTCAATTTTAAGTAATATTTATGGTGTAGATTGAGAAAACAAACTTGAGGTATTAATTTTTCAGAGATAGTTTATGCTTGAAATTAGCCCTGTTTTTATATCTTCCAACATTCTGTTTTCTTGGAGTTACTGTGTGCTTGAAAACTTGCTGAAACAACAATGGAACAGTTATTTTGTTTTTTGTTAACTGCTGAAACAGGTGCTAGGCCTACAGGCCATATATTTGGCTACCTTAACTGCAGGGTAAAATATGTCTGGACTGCATCTTGCTTTTGTTTCTTACGGAAATAGGCATCCTGCATTTTTTTTCCTTTGAACATTAGTGCTTGAAAGCTTAGCTGCTGAAACAAAAACAGAACACTTTTAATGTTTTTTTGTTAACTGCTGAAACAGGCCGTTGGCCTACAGGACATATATTTTGCCATCTTAACTTCAGAGGCAATATATGTGTGAATTGTATGTTGTTTCTGTTTCTTATGGAAACAGACAATTTTTGCAATCACATCTTTTGTAATCAAGAACGTTCTATTAATTGTACAATGTCTTTTCATATCAGTTATGTTGAATGTATACAAAAATCAAGATGCTTATCTTACCGACTATTTTTACTCATCTATCCTTCTATTCATTCATGATTATGTTTAATTTATTCAGGTTAAATGTGTCTTATTCATGTAGTTAAAGCTGGTGCATTCAAGTCGCGCAGCAACGCGCGGGCATATTTTCTAGTATACTTCTAATTAATTAGGCCAAGAGCCAGCCAGTTGGCATGTTCTATTTCAATTTCATCTTTTCAAGACGGGTTATGTTTGGCAATACTCGCCTGGACGAAGACCTCATCACACCAATCTCCGATAATGAATACGTCCTCAAAAGGATCCGAGATCATATCTTTCCTTTGTGGTATATATAATCGCAGGCCCTTTAAGACAAGGGTTTTTTTCTTCAGAAAATAAGGATTAGTTGTGAGACTCATTCTACATCAAGTTTCAACAATTCGAACCTTGTATTTTGTAAGTCTAGATTCATAGATTATCCTTGCAAAAATTCAATTCAATCCGAAACAATTTGTCATTTTAATTATCACAATGAAATTTCATTATTTCTTATAGAACAAAGTGTTCGTCAACTTCTTTAAACTCAATTAGATGTTTCAAATATTTTTTATTTGGCTAATATTTTGCAAGAATGATTTAAGATATGCAACTTGAAAAATAGACGGTCTGGTAATTAAAGTTTGATGTAATGTGGGGCCCACTGCTAATACCCAATTATAAAAATAAAATATAAAAAAAAAAGATTTCTTCCCTTAAGGGCCTGGAATCCTCTATGGGCAACTTAATTATATGTTGTGGGGTTAGGATTTGCGTTAATTTCAATTAATTTTGTTGTCAATTGTATTTGCATGCAACAGATTATCCTCTGAAATCCTATGCCGAAAAGAGAAGTTGCCTGTTTAAAGATAAGGTTGAGCCACCCTATTCCATACAAGAGGCCTCCTTTCAACTACACAAACATTTTTATCCCAAGAAGAATATAGATATCCAAACAAAAATATCCCCTGAAATGAGCCAAGAATCAAAGAGGTCCACTTTGACCTATGTATTCGATGGATTTCGATGATGCGATCAAACTGAAACCCCAAGGCGGACGACAACGACACAACCACTCAGAAGCTAACATTCACAGGTCAGAAAGCTTTCTTTCTATTCCAGCTTTTTATTGAAGAAGGTTATTAACAAGGACAAAAACGCCAAAGAATTGGCTTCTTCTACAACTCAGTCTTCTTTTTTTCCTCTTATTCACTTTCACCGCCTCAGCAGACGCGGCTGGCAAATGATACTACTAAGAGAAATTCAAGTGCATCTTCCAACATGTTCCACAATTTGATTATTTGTGGTGCTGTCAACACAAATGGCACCGTTGTAGTCATGTTGAATCCTGCTAATAAAACATATTCCAACAAGTCTGACAGCAGCCAAGACATGATCAAGGCTGATCATCGTGTTTCTAAAGGAGATCACAAGTTGGCAGGTAGGTCTGCCGGAATTTCTGGGACTTGCCAGAATCCACAGCAGCTGCCGCAGCAACCCCACACTGCTAGTAGGTACGTATGAATGAATTGTAAATTTGTAATCATTCAATCCAATTCAATTCATGAGAAAAAGTCTTATTAAAAATGAATCAATGTACGTATGTATGCACATGACGTGCATATACTATAATGATGACAAAAGAAAGACTACTAATATACATATGCATTTGGCTTTGCTTGTGTTTGGATTTGATGCTCCAGGAAAAGCTATGATGGAGAGAAAGATGCGACCGAGCAGCAAAAGGAGCGCCAGTTCAGTGGCCAAAAAGCGGCTTCTGCTGCTTACAGACCCATTGGTCGGCCGCATTGCTAGCAAGTGACTATCCCTACTCCCTCCCTTATTGCATACATTGATAATTTGACGGGCAATAATGACAACTCTTACTTCCCCTACTCTGCCAAATCCAACTGAAGTCAATTTTGAATTAGGTTAGGTAATGGCTTACCGGCTCACATTAGACTAAATTATAAATAACAATCAAACCACATTAGTTTCAGTAGTAGAAGGCCTGCAGTGTTTTTCTTCCAATCAAGTACCAACTAACTGGGAGTCTCTCAGGTCATTCAGTATCATTGGCTTTCATCAAATCAACCAATACTACAGCTGGCGCTGGCGCCGTGGGTAGAGAGAGTGTTGATAATTAAAAATTATGCCCTCAAGTTAAATTAATATACCAAATCATATTAGTACATGAAGCGTGTGTCCAAAAGTTTACAAACTCCCCCATAAATGGATGAACACAAGAAGTTGGCCAAAAAGTGAATGTGGTCAATGTTGGCATTCATAAAACTTGGTGATCAAGAATACATTTCTGCACAAACTAAAACTGCAGAATCTAAACAAGTGATTAAAATTCGAAAGACTTAATGTTAATGCAGGCAGTGCAGGAAGCTGTTTAAGCCAGAAAAATTGCGCTCACACATGAAGTCGTGCAGAGGAATGAAAGCTGAAACGAAGATACCTGAAATGGGATCAAGAAATCCTCAAACTCCGAGGAATCCGCTTCAGCTTTCTGGACCTGACCAGCTGAATATGCCCAGTAATGACTGATCATCGGATGCTCTTTTGTCTGTTGCCAGGATGAAAGGCAGGAGCCAATTTTCTTTTCTTTTCTTCCTTTTCTGTCTTTCTTTCTTTTTATTTTACCCTGATGTGAATAGAAAAGGCATAGCTCACTGCATTGACTGACTAATAAAAAAAAAAAAATTCTAGTTGCATTAAATTGTTCTATTTCCAACTTCGTTGACAATTCATCCACTTTTAGAAATCAAATGAGAATTCTACGTATATGTTTTATGTACGCCATCACGGGACACGGGGACAGAATGATCCATAACAGGCATGCGTGTGTATGTTTTAGTTAGTAAACTACTACGGCTATGATGAATCTACTCCCTAATGATCTAAGAAATCTAAAAGGATTATGTTTCATACCTTTGTACAGTGCAACGACTCCATAGTAAGCCAAATCAAATTCAAAAGTGGAATTGAGTAAATAAATGAGAGAAATTAGATAAATGCCTCTTTCGAAGATGGAGGCCTCGATAGTTGAAGAAGCCAAAATAATCCACAAATGAAAACCCAAAAGAAAAAGGGAAATATTTCAAAATGGGACAATTTCTTAACCCGGAGACTAAAATAGGACAAACCGGCTATACACAAGCCATGTACACCATGCACAAAACCAAAATTACTAAATTACTCACATATAAATACTAAAATTTAGAAGCCCATTGCATCACTTTTCTCATTTGGAAGAGATGCATGCCGAGAGAGCTATGTGAGGTCTGGGTTTCTGGGTTGAGCTTTGATTTCGAAGAGAGGGAAGTCCAAAGAGAGGTGAGAAGAGTGAGCTGGGTTTTGGGTTGATCTCATACCTTTGATTTCGAACAAAGGGATGTGAGAAAGGCGAGAAGAGTGAGTTGGGTTTTGTACCATATTTTCTATTTAGCCGGAAAGTTCCATTTTTTCCAGCGACTGAAGTTTCGGCATGCATAGTAAGGCAGGGTGTTTAGTTCCAAGTTCCTTAATCAATGATTTATGGAATAAATGAGTTTTGTAAGATGAATTAATACTTAGGGTTTGTGTTTCATGTTGGGGCCTATGGGTTGTGGAATAAATTTTAGGTTTTGACGTGCTACAAAACTGGGATGGAACAATTTTTTATTCAAGTGTCCAATTGTAGAAATTTGTGAATTTTTTTTCTAATGTGCATATGATATGCATGGCTACATCTTAATATGAGAAGCAGGAATGTTCACTAGTTATGATGCACGTATGTTGTGCCTCAAAATTTAGCAAGTATGACCACAACCTAGGTGGCCTCAGTGAAAAACAAAAGCAAGAAAAAGCTTAAAGGACGTTAAGGGTCATGTCTGTCCATGAAACAAGGACAGTGAACATCATGTTTTCCATGTACACGGTTAAGTGGTGATTGATATATGTAACAAGACTTTTCAAATTGCCACTATAAGCTTATATACATAATAATTATGTTTTAATTGTATCCACTATACCAATAGGTTGTCGTTAAAGTTTCTTATTAATATGAAAAGCAACTTGTTGCTCGATCACCAATGTATATCATATGTGTGTATTGTATATATTGTTGTGCATATAGTGTATATAGACAAGTGATGACGTCATTTTTCTGATTTGGAAGAGAGATATGTGAGCTCTGAATTTTTGGGTTGGCTCAGATTTGTGAGCATATCATGTGCATGTCGTGTAGTGAGCAAATCCTGAAAAAATCATCCAACAAAACACTATCATTTAATGACTGGGCTTTGTTCCCAGCCTCGATGCAAGTCAAGTAATGGTGGTCTCGAGCCTTGATTGTTTGTCGTGTTGCCAGAAAATGGCCAGAAACTCGCGGCCTACTTGAGTCTTGATTCCAACGATCTGCGGATGAGATTCGTGACAAGGCTATGTGTTTTGGACTCGTGAGGATGAGATGAAATTGGTGGTGGCTTTGATTTGGACGATGTTGGTTGGAACGACTGTGCACCGTGTGTGCACAGTGAGATGGGGAAAGAGCGTGCGTGAGGGAGAAAGTGAGAAAAGAGAGAGGAGGGGAGAGAGAGTAGAGAAAGAAATCAAAAAATTGAAGGACATAATTTATTTATATACGAGGGCAATTGAGTCATTTCAAGGTATAAGAAAAATTATATTTCTGTTTGATTGTTGTGCATGGCATATGCATGCTGTGTGCATATTCTAAATGTCATATTTTTATCCCAAAATTAAATAATTGTCCTAGCTTTGAGTATTTCTCAAATAAAAAAGGCAGCCCAAATAAGAGGAAAACTGTCGAACAAAACAAAATAGAAGATGATCCTGTAGAAAAACTGCACAAAATAATTCTTAAAATTAAGAAATCCGCCTAG